TTATTTAATTATATATATAGAGAGATGAACTCCCTGATGGAGATGGAATCATCTTCCACATTAGTTAGTAGGTATATATATATATATATATATATATATATATATATCACGTATATGATGCGTATAGCTGGTTATGACGTCCATCAATGGTGGTGGAAGTGGAAAAAGAAGAAAATTAAAGTTGCGGTTGTGGAGCGCCCCCAGCACTACGGCTGCCTTTGCACTCCACGTCAATGTTAACACATGTGGTGATGCATGATATGAGATCAATATTGTGCGAGCAGTTGAGCGTACAGGTGAAGTCATTCTGGTCGCAATTGCTAAAGCATCGCGGCAACGATGCCTGACTGTGGACTTGCGATATGATGAGCAAGAGCAGCACAATGAGCAGTGTGAGTCTTTTCAATCCTGCACTCCTCATTTTGAAGTCTTGATCACGGGAAGAATGCATTGCCGCGCTGCCTGAGCCTGAGGCTTTGAGTATGTTATATACACTATATATAGCAAACGAATGCATGCAGAAAGTAAGTTTACGTTTTGAAAGATGTATTGTATGATCATGCAGGAGGCCTGAGTGGGTAATTCAACTTTGGCTACACGTGGGGGTGGGCATATGCCGATTTCGGTGAAAACCAATACCGAAAAGTAACTAATGGACTTTTTCTTTCCTATTTTTTTCATGACAGAAACCCATAACGGAATCCTTTTATTTTTTCATTATTGCATACCGAAGATTTCGGTATTGGATACCATCAGTTTCGGTATACCAAAAATTTTGGTATTGGACACCAAAAATTTCGTTATTCATTTTTTTGATTTTGATATTCATCAAATTTTCTGTTGCAGAGTGGAGAAAGGAAAGAGAACATTGGTGAAGATGAAAAAGGAGGAAGAGGGGTTCGAAGCAAATAAGATTACGAAGAGAATAGAATGGGAGGAAAAAACACGATATATAATTTTATAGTTGTGAAAAAATTATAAAAATTTATTATAGATTAAAAAAAATTGTATTTTTTTTTTTTTT